AATAGCGATGGCCTCCAACCTAATAGCGACGGCCTCCAACCAAATAGCCATGGCCTCCAACCTAATAGCAATGGTCTCCAACCTTATAGCGATGGCCTCCAAACTAATAGTAATGGCCTAATAGCGATGGCCTCCAACCTAATAGCAATGGACTCCAACCTAATAGCGATGGCCTCCAACAATTCCTTGGCGAGAGGGCCCCCCCTAGCTCAGGTGGCAGGGAGGGGGCGAAGTGTCAGACCGGAAACAAGCGAAAGAAAGGCATGCAACGCTCAGAACAGGAGGACCAGGAAGAAGTGTCTCCAAGGGTCAAACGTTGGCTCGGGCGGACTTGGCCAAACGGTTGCCCAACTTCAGTTTTTTCTGCAAGACGTTAAATGAGCCCTGTGGAGCAGCCCATTCATACAAGCAATCCGAAGCTGTCCAGGTGCAATCAAGCTCAGGCCACCAGCTATACGACAAAGGTCTTGCGTGCTTCCGAAAGGTAGACTCAATGATCCTACAAACATCTGCTTGGGCAGGAAAGCTCGGTCTATGTGACCATCCAAACACGCAAGTGCCAGCACCTTGTCTATAGAGTGAACACACTCTGGCGCTATGGACATTGTCCGGTATGGGTGAACACCCACTCAGCGAGATCGTCTGCTGCACAGTATGTGCAAAATGTGTTGCACTTTCATTCCAAGTGTAGCTGAAGGCTTTCGCCTCTGCACTGGAGTGGGCCCAAGCAAAAGAACTTTCCCCTTTAGCATTCTTTCTGTGAACGGGAATGTAGCTTTGCGAAAAGATCATGAAGCTTAGAACAAGTTCCATCCATGACGCGCCAATGGTGGCCTGCGCTACCGCTCCAGCTTCAGGCGCCCAACGAAGTGCGTGAAGCCATTTCAAGACACAAGTCAGGAGACTAGCGCCCCAATAGCCATGAGAGAAAAAAGCATTCTCTAGAGTGGCCTCCAGAGAGAAGGACCAAGGCTCTGGGATATGCCAAGAAGCCAAGAATGCAGCCATCACACCAGCTTGGTACTGAGGATGAGGTTCTTCCGGGTTCATGGATGCGGGTACAGAGGAGACGAAGTCTTTACGATGCTTCTGCAAGGCTAGCGAAAGCTGATAAGACTCGTACAATTGATCTGCCTCGAATTTACGAGCGATGGCATTGGCTCCCCAGCCATCAGTAAGTGCAGGCAGCAAGCGACAGCAGACCTCCACAGCACCTCGGTCAGCTACTGCGTTGCCCAGGCTATGATAACAATCCAGGTCTGGCAAGGAGGCAGAGTCAGCGTGACCCTTGATCTTGACAATTTGGTTCACCTCTAACGAACCCAGGTTTTGGATGCGAGAACACAAAGCAGGTTGGACGTGTCTGTGCAGTTGCTTGCCCCGAATGTGCACCGCAGCCTTGACGGTGGCAATGGCACTGGAAGAGTCCACATGAATGGTGGCATGGCGAAAGAGCTCATGGGCTTGTATGAGACCCCGGAGTTCAGCATGGTGGATATTCTGCTCTTGCCGGGCCAAAGACCAGTCTCCTTGTATCTTTGAGCATGCCAAATGCGTTCCGCATCACTGCGACAAGAATCAATGACTACACTGTATCCTGCAAAACGAAGGGTCGGCCAGGTAGGAAGTTGGCAGGTCCCATCGGTGTAAACATGCAGGGGGGCAGAGGCATCGAAACGTGATACCAAGTCGTCAAGAAGTGCAGAAGGAGCATCCGCATGACCCTCAAACATGACCGGCAATTCCGGCCATAAACAGTCAAAAGACTCCAATCTCTCCAGCAAAGAGCTGAACGGTGCACGAACTGACTGAGTAGCAGTACAGCAGAAATACCTATGGGCCTTAGTGTCCTCTTTGCCACACCATTGGCATTCAGGGGTGACCTTGGAGTCCCAGATTGCTTGCTGTACACGGGTCTGGAAGGCCCCAGCGATTTCACGCACAAGCAAGCGACCTGCTGGAGAGAAACGTGCCAATACCTTACGAGTTAAATGCTGATCAATGTTGGGGTAATTGGCAAGAGAAGCGCGATGTGAATGGAGAGACAGAAGGCGATCTTGCCAAGCCTTTTCCGCAAACCAAACAAGAGTATGCCATGGACATTGCAACAAAGGAAGACGAATGAACGCAGAGACCTGAAACTGGCCAAACTGATCAATCGTCCAACCTAACCGAGACAAATAAGTCTTAAGTGAGGTGGCAGGGCCCTTAGACGTATTAGCTCTTGGAAAGTATTTGGAAGCAATGGCCAAGAAATGGCTCACCACATCATCTGGTTGAGTCAGCGAGAAACGACGAGCGGCAGCGCAGGCATTTAGGATCAGTTGCAATTCAGGGTCGCGAACATAGGAGGATGCGCACAATGTCACTAGGGCAGAGCTCATACTTTCGGAAGGGCCCACCAGAGCCTCAGCCACGTGGTGGCGGAGGGAACGAGTATGGGCCTGCCCAAGAGGACACAATTCAGCTCCATGAAAAGCAACCGGGTAGACACTGGCCGCGATGACCTTGGCTTTCGTGTCCAACGCATGAAACTTCAAACGAGCAAGACGTTCCTTGGCCTTACTTAAGCCTGTCTGCAAGTTTACACAATCTCGAAGCCCCTTGGTATCAAAGTGGGCAACCCAAGTCCGGCGCGGCAAGTGCACGTTCAAGGACTGGCAAAGACAAATCCCGAAAGATGGCTTGGATCTGTGGATTAAGACCATTGTGGGAGGCCCAGTACCAAGTTTTATGCCAATCAATCTGTACGCCTATGATCTTAGTCCATTGAAGTGTGACCGACATTATTGGGCGCAATTCAGCCAAGTTCTTAACAGCCCAGGTCCAATTATCAGCATAGGCTGAGAGCAAGGTCGAAGGACTGGCAAACTGGCGGCATGCAGCTGTCCAGCATTGAGCAACCCCAAGCATAACAAGGACTGAAAAGACGTCACCTTCAGGGAAGCCGCAAGAACTTGGGACAAGATCAGAGCATTGGCCACACACTTCCCACCGACGAGTGAGCTGTTGCAAAGACTGCGACCACATGTGCAAGATGTTTTCCGGCAGGCCGAGTTTAGCAAGGATAGCAATGCCACGAGGCCTTTTAATGGCGTTAAAACATTTGACTAAGTCCAGCGTGATCCCAGCGCGCGACTCTTGCTGGAAGTGGGCCTGTTCGAAAAACCATTGGGAGCAGTATGCAGCTTCGAAAGCTCCACGTCCTGGTAGAAGTCCGGTGATGTCCGCTGTCATGGACAAGCCAAGGCCTCGCAAAGCCGGTCGGCAAATGACCTGGGCCCAAACACGGTATATCTGAGACAGGACTGTGATGGGCCGTACTCGACCAGGCTCTGGAATCCCTTGCCCCTTAGGAGCAGCGAAGACAGTGGCCGACGTGAACCCTGCTGCGAATCCATCTGAGTAATTATGAATCATGAATCACGTCAATTAATGACTTGATCAAACTTACCGGCAGAGATTTGAGTTCGAAGGCAGTAATGCCGTCTGGACCTGGGGCAGAGTTCCACTTCAGTGTCCGAATTACTTGAAGCCATGTATCAAGGCAGCGGCTATTGATAATCAAACGACCAGGCTAATTCCTGATCCAAAGCTGGGGTCAAAAGATGGGAGTCATCACGCTCCCAGAGCGGCGCAATACCCAGCTCTGGCGTCCAAAAGGTGTTGTCAGGCAACTGTACGGCATAGGTATCAAAAAAAAGTAAAACGAGCATCAAAAATATAAAAAGAGGATCAAAATAAAAATAAAGGCGAATCAAAACAACATATTCCTTGATAGGCCTCTTCTGCTGCTCTCCTGTCTGCGGGTCCTCTGGCAATGAGGTCCCTTGGTCCTTTGGTCCCTTGGACTGGTCCTGTAGTCCTCCGGTCTCCTGGTCCTCTGGTCCTGTGGTCCGCTGGTTCCCTGGTATCCTGGTCCTTCTGTCTCCTGGTCCGCCGGTCTCTTGCTCTCCTACTCCGCTTGTCTTTCGGTCTCCTGGTTGCCTGCTTGCGCAAAGCGAGGCTTGATTGCTTTCTACTAGAGGCAGCTCCCTGGGAGGAAAGTAGGTATCCAATGATGGTAGCCGTCCAGTCATTGAGTAGCCCTACTCGAAAAATGGTTCACCAGTAGAAATAGCTCTCTACTAGGAAGGAGCTCCTAGGGAGGTACACTCTCCTAGTCCCCTACTCCTTCCATCCTCTTCCCTGGGTCACTGCTACTGCTACTACTATTACTACTACTACTACTACTACTACTACTACTACTACTACGACCACTACTACTACTACGACCACTACTACTACTACTACTACTCCTACTACTACTACTACTACTACGACCACTACTACTACTACTACGACGACTACTACTACTACTACTACTACTATAATATTTTTTTGATTCCCTTTTTTTAAGTGATCCCCGTTGAATACTTTTTGATTCTATTTTTACTTTTTTTGATCCCTTACCCCAACTGTACCATATCATCCTTGAAAAGCTGTTGCATTGTGTCCTCGCGCAGGAGGAAACGAGCTGATTGATTCATCCACATGGTACCTGAGGGGAAGACTTCAGCATGGAGAGATGAAGCCCTGAGGCGATGCTCCTCAAAGTATTCCCAAACATCGGTCCAAGTCAATCGCAAGTCCCTTTGTTCCAGCGTGTTCACCCCTTGAATCAACAGCCACAAGGCATGCGGGATAGCAATCTGGTTGCCAAGTCCCTTCCACTCCTGTTGCAGATCATGTCCAATCCAAAATCCACTCCAAGCTCCATGGATCAGAGCAACCTCAACCGGATGCCAAAACCTGAGTGAGTCAGACTCTGCAGGCTGAAACCAAAGTGGCCTTTACTCCCCAAGAGCTCTGGATCTAAATGGTGCTGACTGCCATATTGCGCCATGAAGGTTGGCAAACAGTTGCTGGTAGCTTGGAAGATGTGGGGTTCAGATGCCTCATCAGCTGTACATCGTCGTTGATGCTTGGCACTTCGCTCCAAAGGGAAAGTCCGGGCATGCTGCAGAGCTGGATCCGGAACCAACAGTTTGTCCAGGATGTCATCAGGCCAAGATCTGATGCAGTCAAACTCCAGCAATGTCAGCGTTCGCTCAACTGACCAGAATGATATGGCTGGAAACTGAAGATCATCGCCGTGAATGAAGTAGGCAATGCCAAGCCATCTGGACCTGCGGACCGGCGTAACATCACCAAGCCCAATGACTGGAGAATCGTAGTTGATATCCAGCAAACCACAAGGCCTTCTCGATCCACATCCTGTGCGGGTGAGCATGGAAGCCAGCTACCTTTTCGATCAGGATGAGTTTGGGGCGGAGCAGCTTGCGCAATCCGATACTGCGCATGAACAGTTGCCCATCAGTGGAGTGTAAGCCCTTTTGAGATGAGGCTCCACTCCAGGGCGGACAGGGAGCACTGATTGTAATGATCTCGGGGGACCAACATGCCACCGCTTGCATCCAATTCATCACGTCGCCAATGGATGCACCACCCTTCAGGATATGACAAAAGAGCTTGCGGAGGCAGTTCATGCTCTGAGGACAGAAGAGGGCAACGATGTGATAGGGAATAACTCCTTGCAGCCTTGAAGTCAACTTCAATGGAGCCCGACGCCATGGGAACTTCCATCTCATTCAACAGCTGCGTAGCGTAAGACCACCCTCCCCAGGAACCACCAAACAGGTCAAGGCTAGGATGGCGCCCACATCTGCTTTCTTGAAAGGTAATACCAGGGTGTGATCATCGATGGAAAGATAGCCACGAAACTCAGGACCAGGCCAGTTCAAGGCAGCGTTCCAAATCAAGCACTTGCCATCAAAACCCTGAGCGCACATTCGATGCAGGTCCACCTTCCTTCTGGCCTTCCAGTCCAGACTGATGGGTTGTGGCATGAAGTCATCCGGTCCCACCCAAACACTTTCAATGTCCAGTTGCTTCAAACCCCTGCCAGCAGCAATCAGGTGGTCAGCATGGAACAAAAGCGTATCATCGAATCGCCTAGGAGTCAGGTTGTTCACCAACAGCGAGGGCCGTTCTGACAACGTACCACCTGTATCTCCCCACAATCCACAGGCCTGCAGGATCTCCTTGCAGCAGCCGGCGGCAGCCGGGTTTCATCTTCCATAGCTGGCACCTCCTTCCAAGGGGAGGCCCCACCGCCACCGAGGAGCCCTGTGCTCCAGGAGGTTCGGGCCTTGATGGCTACTAGCGATGGCCTCTCCAACCTAATAGCAATGGCCTCCAACCTAATGGCGATGGCCCCAAACCTAATAGAAATGGCCTCCAACCTAATAGCGATGGCCTCCAACCTAATAGCAATGG